TAGGATTTCTGTGTTGGGAAATCTAATTCTCAAGGAATATCATATCAGAGAGTAAGTTTTTTTCTTTCTCAACCCTTTTGTGGTCAAAGACTCTAGTGTATTTCATGTTCTTGCCTTTGTTTCTGTTTTAATTTTGTTAAATTTCATTTTCTTTGTTTTGTGGGTTTGATCCAGTGGTCGTCTATTTATAGTAATTCAATCAAAATTGAGTTTTTTTTTTTTCCTTCTCTTTTTCTTTTGGACTTAAATGGATTTGGTTTTCTATGAGTTTGATTTCATTGATGTTATATAACTTCATCTATTTATGGAAACTGAGTTGATTCTGTCCAAGTGTAACTAAGCTGAGATTTTTCTTTCTGGGGATTTTGGTTTAAGATTAGATGCCAAACCTCTGTAGAGGTTCTTACTTTACTCAATTTAGCTTAAATTCAAAACAGCACTTGGGATTATTACTATGATTTGGAATTTTCATGTTCATCTATGATATTACCTTGCAAGTGTTTCATTTTTCTTTCAAGCTTTTGTATATGTTTCCTTTGCTTAAGTATAAATTCTGTCATGTTTTATAGGTAAAGTTCCAACCTTGGAGGGTAATATATAAATGGCGACACTAAAGGATATAGGGGTTGCAGCCGGTTTCAATATACTCAGTGCACTAGTTTTCTTGCTGGCCTTTGCAATCTTAAGGCTTCAGCCTTTCAATGACAGGGTTTACTTTCCAAAATGGTATCTAAAGGGCTTAAGAAGCAGTCCTACACGCTCTGGAGCTTTCGTTCGCAGGTTTGTCAATTTGGATTTCCGTTCATATGCGAGCTTTTTGAATTGGATGCCAGCTGCACTGAAAATGCCAGAACCTGAGCTTATCGAACATGCAGGATTGGATTCTGCAGTTTACTTGCGGATTTACTTGATAGGGTAAGCCGTATTCAAATTGGACTTCCTTTCTGCCGTATTCAAATTGATCTTTTGTCATTTTGATGAGTTGCTTTACATTTTAGGACTTTACTGATAAGATGTGCTTAAAGGTCCGAATTTAGGCTATATTTTGAATAAATCCAAGAATTTTGTGAAATTCATTTGTAAAAATTGTTACTTGGGTTCAAATAGGAGAGTATGTAATTCTGTGAAAAAGTTATAGAAAAGTTGACCCTATATGGAACTCCACTTGGAAAAGTCTATATATGGTCACTTTTTATCATTTGAGTACCTTCACCATCTTTTAGTTGAACCGGGAAATTTCTGAACTTATTCCAAACATAATCTTAGTATTTTCTTCGATTTTTCATGAATTTTGTGCTTGTTGCTTGTATCATTCACAGACATGATGAATTGTTTTGCTTTCAATTCTCATATTAATGCATTACTCACTCCTTGTGGTTGCCGAAAGAAGTAGGTAATTTGTCTCGATTTCTTTTCGTCCTGATGGCAGAAAGGTTATAAAAAATCTGTTTCTTTTGTTCTTGGTTTCCTAATTGGAATTAACAGTGTGGATTGAGGATTGAAGTCCGAGCAAAATGCCGAGGAGTTCTATGATTCAACTTAAGCAGATGAAAATTACTTGTTTTAAACAACATTAGTATACTGTGTTTTCCTTTGTTTAAACTTTTGAGCAAGTCTTGGATCAGCTTATCAAGTTATGGAATTTTCTTAACCAACTTCTCTTACAGGATTATGCGTAATCTATAATACCATGCTGATTATCTACAGTTTACTATATGCAGGCTCAAGATTTTTATTCCAATCGCTTTCCTTGCATGGGCAATTCTAGTACCAGTTAATTTGACAACTGATGGGCTCGAGAGAGCCAAGGCCTTGAACGTAACTTCCAGCGACATTGATAAACTCTCAATTTCAAATATACCACGTGGCTCAGATAGGTATAATATACTCTATCATGTTGAGTTTATAAATCGAGTGTTTTAGCGGTACAATTAATTAATAAAATAAGCATGATTTTAGGTACTGGACTCATGTTGTCATGGCATATGCCTTCACCTTCTGGACATGCTATGTGTTGATGAAGGAATACGAGAAAGTTGCCAATATGAGGTTGCATTTTCTTGCATCAGAGAAACGCCGACCTGATCAATTTACTGTAAGAAACATCTTTAACTACCTCTCTAGAAGATTTATTCCTTAATTACTACATTTTTTTAAGTGTATCATCTTCCGTTCTTCGAATTGTTTCCTCTTTTGTCACTATGCCTTACGAATGCAATATGATTCATGAAGCATTTTGCAATCAATTGGGTGTATTTCTATTAGTTGTGGAAGTGGTGAACCATCTATGCTTACACTTTTGAGCAAATAAAATGCTGTTGATATTCATCAATGTTTGACTTTGTATCAAAATATCAAAGTTTTGATTTTTAATATTTTCACAGGTCCTAGTTAGGAATGTCCCACCAGATCCAGATGAATCTGTTAGTGAGCTTGTGGAGCACTTTTTTCTGGTCAATCACCCAGATCACTATCTTACACATCAGGTCAGTAGTTAGTAAATTATGTATATCCTGTATGTTCTTGGATACTTATATATAAGTCTTTGTTAGACTATTTTCCTGGGTTTTCCCATGTCTGTAAACCTCCTACTGGTTGACTCTTCTGTTACAAGAATTCTGCCATGACGTTTCGTAATGAAAATAGATACTTATGTTTATCTGTTTCTACCTCTACAGAATACATTCCACACGACGTACATGCTTATGCTTATTGTAGTTTGATAATGACATTTAATTTAGTTTAAGATGGACCCGGAAAAGATTTGGGTTGCGTCATTGACCACCTAATTGATATGTAACTTCTATGTAATTGGGTGGTACTCCTTTAGTATCTTTGTAAATAATAAGGTGGTACTCCCTTAATATCTTTGTGAATAATAACACTTTCATCTTTTATTTCAAAAAAGATGGACCCGGAAATGTACTAGGGTTACAATGAAAAGCAATTAGTGGTTTCAATTTAGTCTCCCTTATACTGTATATATATAATATCACGATTAATTTCTTAAGTCAAAGACGATATTTTGCAGGTGGTATACAATGCAAACAAACTCGCCAAATTGGTCAAGAAGAAGAAAAAGTTGCGGAATTGGCTTGATTATTATCAACTAAAATATTCTAGAAATAGTTCTCAGAGGCCACTCATGAAGGTACTTTGATGGGTATATAAGATGCTTTCAGAACCCAGTCTCTTTTTTACTTCTGTACCTTAATTGTCAGTCCTTTCATACATCTTCCAGACTGGCTTTCTTGGACTTTGTGGAGAAAAGGTAGATGCAATAGATCATTATACATCTGAAATCGAAAAAACATCAAAAGAAGTAAGTACTCTATATATCTTGTTTAGTACTTTTTTAGTTGATTGTCCGGTTTTGCCTTTTGATTCGAAGATTACATATATTATTGTTGTGCCACGTCCTTTATAAATTGTTGGGTATCATGTTTCACCTAATTCATTCAGTTGTTCTTAACCAAAGCATCCTTGTTAAGTTGCATATGATACGTATATAGAGCACTTTTAAGCTTTGTTTACTACTCTTTCATAATATCAACGATATAAATAATTTAAAGCATAATTTAATTCAGTTGGCTTTGTTTGTCAGATCGTTGCAGAGAGAGAAAGAGTCACGAATGATCCAAAGTCTATTATGCCAGCAGCATTTGTTTCCTTTAAAACTCGATGGGGTGCTGCTGTTTGTGCACAGACGCAACAGTGCCGAAATCCTACTTTATGGCTGACAGACTGGGCCTCGGAGCCACGTGATGTATATTGGGCCAACCTTGCGATTCCATATGTTTCTCTTACTGTGAGGAGACTGATTATGGGTGTTGCATTCTTTTTTCTCACCTTCTTTTTCATGATCCCCATTGCACTTGTACAATCTCTTGCTAGCATTGAGGGAATCGAGAAAGCAGCACCATTCTTGAAGCCAATAATCGAAAAGTGAGTTTCTTTATTCTACAGACATTTCTCGAATATAGTGTTCAGAATGCATTATTAACTCTGATGGTTCCTTAATTTATGCAGAAGCTTTATTAAGTCAGTCATCCAAGGTCTTCTTCCTGGGCTTGCGCTGAAGCTTTTTCTCATCTTTCTTCCAACAATCTTGATGATTATGTCTAAATTTGAAGGCTTTATATCTATTTCATCTTTAGAAAGGAGATCAGCTTCAAGATATTATCTTTTCAATCTAGTGAATGTGTTCCTTGGCAACATAATAGCCGGGACAGCTTTTGAGCAACTAAGTTCTTTCATGAAGCTATCAGCCAACGAGTATGTTACCAGTCACTGTTGTCGTTTTCTCTATTATTCATTACCCTTGGTCAGATTTTCTATACTTATTTCTCTGAAGTAATTTGTATATTTAAAAACCCAATTGTTTTGCCTCCTTTCCGACAGAATTCCGAAGACAATTGGTGTGGCTATACCATTGAAAGCAACTTTTTTTATTACTTACATAATGGTTGATGGATGGGCTGGAGTAGCTGGGGAAATTTTAAGGTTGAAACCACTTATAATTTACCACTTGAAAAACTTCTTCTTAGTGAAGACTGAAAAGGATAGGGAGGAGGCGATGGATCCAGGAAGTATTGGATTCAACACCGGAGAACCTCAAATACAGTTCTATTTTCTACTTGGCCTCGTGTATTCTACCGTGACACCTATTCTGCTTCCCTTCATATTAGTTTTCTTCGCACTGGCTTATGTCGTGTTCCGCCACCAGGTAAAATAGTCACTATCTTGGCAATCGGATATTTTTTAGTCAATGTCTTTTACCATGTTCAATTATCTAATTTTAGTGTTATGTTAAGAGTATAAATGATAGCTCTGGTGGTTTCCTAGCTGAAGTTTTCATATAATTGGCAGCAATGAATTATTTTATGTAGTACCAAAACTTAAGATCTAGATATTAAATATTACGGCCCATTTTTATTGAAAATCAAATTTTAGTTGAGGTATAAAGTAAGGTCTATGCTAGATCTACGCTTTTAA